CTACGGTCGGGTTACTGGGAGATCAAGATGGCAGATAACTCGATCCACAAGACAGCATTCCGTACTAGACACGGCTCCTACGAATACTTAATGATGTCGTTTAGACTCTGCAACGCACTGGCAACGTTCTACGCAGGGATGAATCACATCCTACGGCCGTTGATGGACGAATGCGTAGTAGTTTACATGAACAACATTCTCATCTACTCGAAGAACATGAAGGAGCACATGGAGCATTTGCGAAAAGTCTTTAAGATCCTGCGGACAAACAAATTCCACGTGAAGCTGCCCAAAAGTGACTTCTGTTAACGGGAGTGAAGTGTTGGCCCCGCCCTCGCTTGGGCAACGCCGACGACTTGGTCGGATGTACGGGAGAAGCAGCCGACCGTTCACAGTAGGAGAGCTGCTCGACGGGCTTCGTCGAGCTGCCGGGGACCGCTGTGGTGTTGTTGTCGACCAGGGAGCTCGACAGCTGCAACTGACTGGTCTGGGAGACGGGTGGGACGTCGACAAGGAGGTGTAGTTCGACCGAGTGGTCGACGGAGCAGCTCGTCGACTTCGAATTCGACCGGGAGGTCTATGGAGCAGTTTGTCGACCTGCAGTTTGACCGGGAGGTCAACAGAGCAGTCCGTCGACCTAACAAGTGAGCAGCGGTCGACGAGGGGAGCTCGGCGACGTCAGCTGTCAGTTCTGGTCGACGAAAGGGATTCGTCGACCAAAGGGTAGCTCGACGGGAGCTGTGGTCGGCTAGAGGCACCTGGTGGTCGACCAGGGGCACCTGGTGGTCGACCGGAGGCACTGGTGGTCGACCGGAAGCACTTGGTGGTCGACCAGGTCGACCAGGTAACCTGCTCGACGAGTTTTGTGGAGGCACGCGAACGTCGTCGAGGTCGTGATGGCGAAGGGGACTTCGGGCTGGTATCCTGAAGTCGATGTGGCTCGTCAGGCGCAGACAACAGCCGACGGATGCACAACGAGGCAAGTCGTGCCAATCGTCTGCGCGCACCTGCGAGCGTGCGCACTGCTGTCTCCTACAGGGCAACGCTGGACAGCCGCTCTGCTGCAGCGGTGGCACGCCGTCGAACTGTAGTGTTGGCAGGTCGCCTTTCCGAAGTGCTGGCGCGGCTCCTCTACGCAACGCTGATAGGCGGTCGACCAAGCTGTGCTGGCGGTTGACCAGGCTAGCTGCAGAGTTGCTAGGTGCCTGATGTAGTCATTGTTGTGCTTTCTTGCTCAATCATTCTGTAATTTTCGACTTTGCTAGTGGAAACTCTTGTGGATTTCTCCCGTGATTGTGCAAGCGCAAAGGAACTAGGCAAAGCTACGATGAGTCTCAGTAGTTGGTGCCAACCTTGTAGTCTAGCTCACTACCGTTGTAGAGTGAATCTCCGCATTACCTTCAGATAGGAGCCGACTTTTGCACCTACTAAGTCGTTCGTAGGCCGGCAGCAGCGGTAGTCGCCATGGTCGACCAAGTAGTTGATGCGGGCGTAGCGGACACCTTGGAGGCACGCTTGGCTAATGCGAGGAAACGCCACGCGGATGGCGAGTATGAGACGATCCCTTGGGCGGTCGTCGAGTTGGGCATCCGGTCGCAGTGGCCGACGGAACACCCTTCCCGTCCCGCATCTCCTCGACCGGTGCGCAACAAAGGTGGCGTCGACGACGAGGTCGACGGTGGTGCACGAGTCAGCGACAGTGAAGGCACGAGGCAGAGAGGGGTGATCAAGGTCGACGGTGGTGTCGACGGGATTCAGGTGCGAGTGCAGCGGTCGACGGCATCATCGAAAATGCATGGTTTTGTTTTTTTTATCCCTTATTTTCACCAGTTGATTTTTGGACCAGCCCTTAAAACTGAAGGGTGATTTATGAGGTAACTCGAACCTCTCTGGAATGTTCTCGAGGGGCCTTGGATTGTTTTAGCAAACACTTATCCTCCCCAACCTGCTTCGCATCATTAAGACTGTGTGTGTTGGAAATAAATTATTCCCTACCAAGTTGCGAGATTTTCATTCAAAACAGTGTATGGTTCAAACTAGATAGAAATCGCAAGGACAAGATGTACACATTTGTGTAAAAAATGAATATATGTCAACGTGTTAGCCCCAACGCTTATATAATTCTCGATTACAAGCGTACCCCCTAAAAAAACGTGACCTTTGGCTATACAGACTCGTTTGAAGGTGGAGCTGAGAGCGACCAGCCTGTAGGCAGAGGAGTGGACTGTGGCGAGGAGAACTGGAAGCCGAAGCGCTGAAGGACCTGGTGCACCATGTGTGAAAGAGTCAGAGTGATGGTGACCCGTGCTTTGTCCCGTGTGATCTGCAAGCCAAGATAGCTGCGCAGCTCACCCCGGTCAATGCAGGTGTGTCTTTTCTGCAGCTCTGACTTCACAAAGGCTAGTGCCTCAATGATAGCAGTAGCAAAGACCAAGTCATCAATGTACTTGAGGATGTAGAACGGTGGCAGAGAAGGGACGGTGTGCAGAAGCAGTGACTGGTCAACAGTAGAAGGAGCAAACCCAAGAGCCGCAAGTGTAGTCCTCAGTGTATCGTGCCACTCGCGGTAGCCTGACGGGGACCGTAGACTGGCCGCCAAAGGCTCCACTAGGTACCCTCAGGAAACGACTTAGTGAAGCCAGGTGGGAGGCGTAGCCAGATCTCCTCGTGAAGGCGGCCATGCAAGAAAGCTGTGCTGAAGTCAAGCGAGTGGAGCTCGTAGTCACGTTGTGCTGCAATATGCAGCAACACCCGAAGAGTGATCATCTTCGGGGTGGGGAAGAAGGTCTGGAAGTAGTCGACCCCTTGTTACTGACTGAAGCCTCGTGGTATGTAACGCGCCTTGAAGGCAGGCGGCAAACATGCCGACCACTTAACCCTGAAAATCCACTTGCCATCGATTATGTTTGCCCCAGGAGGGGGAACTGCGTCGACGTAGGTGCTTGCGGACTATCATAATGCCACCTTTGCGTCCACGGGTGTCTGTCACAGAGATGAGTACGGATCCGTAATCGCCTCTGCGTAGGAGCACGGGATCAGGATGTCTAGTGCATCCGGGTCTTCCTCAGGGCAAAGCAGTATGGCAGCGAGAAGAGGTACAGCAGCCGCGGGGCACTCGAGCTCGAATTGCCTGTCCTTAAGGACGTTACTGCCAAGGGCAAGCTCACCCCTGTCCGACGGAGGACAATCAGACTCAGACTCAGTAACAAGACTCGCGAAGTAGTCATGACGACAGGTAGCAGCAAAGTCAACAAGCTTAGCGACTAAGTTAGACACAGCAGTAGACTCAAATATATTGTCAGTGACAACTGTGGCCAGGAGACGCGTGACAGTAGGACTCGAAACACGAACAAGGCGAGACTCAGGGTTAGGAACGTCAGGAAGAGAGGACGACGGAGGAGACGGCAGGGCAAAACGCTGTGGAACAAAGGAAGGACGAAGTGTCACAGTATGGATACCGGGCACAGGAGAGGCAGGACGAGACGCAGACTCACGACGCTTTGTCAGGGAGTCTGTCTGCTCTGGGTAAGGAGAAGGAACATGCAGAGGGGAGTGAGGCTGTAACAGTGGCTGCGACGGGGCAGGCGAAGGACACAGTAGAGGTGGAGTAAAGCCAATGGAAGACGGACGAATAAGAACCTGGCAAAGCCCTGAGTCAGGTGGTGACAGTGACGACTGAGGCTGCGGGATGAAAAACGGTCGCCGGTGCGCAGTGCCCACAATATTAGAGCTCCAACACCTCCAGCAGCTCAAGTACCTCCAGCTCCAGTACCTCCAGCACCAGTACCTCTAGCAGCTCAAGCACCTCAAGCTCCAGCACCTCCAGCACCAGCAGCTCCAGTACCTCCAGCACCTCTAGCACCTCCAGCTCCAACACCTCCAACACCAATAGCTCCAGGTACCTACAACACCAGCAGCTCTGATACCATGCCAGAGCATGAATGATTGCACTAGCATGAGTGACAAGTACCGTATTCTCCCGGACATAACACCCGGGGGTATTATGATAACCACAGGGAAAAAAGGGGGGGGGGGTCCTCTCAACGGAAAATCCTATATAATACCCGGGTTGTTATATATGGTATATTTTAATGCAAGAGGATTCTTTTATTAGACAGTTTGGGTGTTTCAATGGTCGTTTTAACATCACAGTTTGAGGCGAGAATGTGAGTTTTGGCAAGAATGTGAGTTTCACCTTTCGGGCCACTTGCAGCGGAAGATTCGCCAGCGTGGCAACTTCCTAGAATGTGGGATGGGGGAAATGTCCACTTGCAGCGAAAGATTCGCCAGGGTGGCGACAGTGAGATTGTGGGAGGGGGAAATGTTGGCGGATTCTAAGTGCAAGTATGCGCGAAATTTCATTTAGGAAGCAATTCTCGCGATATTCCCCTGTAAGGAATCAGACTCGATAACAACTATAATAGGAATCCGTAAGAAAAGGGGGGTGTTATAAAAAATCATCCAAAAAGGGGGGTATAGTAGAAACGAGGTCGCCCATAGCACCCACCCCGCACAAGCTACCCGGGGGTGTACTATCATGGGGGGGTGTTTTGTCCGGGAGATTACGGTACAAGTCGTATTGACCTTTAAGGGTTGTACCCAGTATGCTCTATCCTACTACAGCCTAAAAAACATATACATGCATTTTGACAGAGTCTTGTACGGTACTCTGAATCCATCAGGGAACAAAATTGTGAAATCAATGGTCAGCAGCTCATAGGTCTGATTTGTCATACTAATCAGCCTATCTAGTCTGATAGCATCAGCCCGGGTTAAGATTCCAAAAGAAGGGATCACGCTGATGGTCAAAAGTAAAATCAGGAACTCAGTTGAAAATCAGTGAAACAAAAAAAAACTAGGCGAAGAAACAGGGTTAAATTGAAACACAAAAATAAGTGTGCACTGTACGGTACTACACCACATACCACCGCAGCAGCGTCCTGTCTAGAGTACAATCTGGCGGCGCTGCACTACACTGCACCATGTCATCATAAGCAGCATCACTGGCACACAACGTCAGAGTAGAAAACGATCTGGCGGCGCTCGCAGGTGCGGATGGCAAGCAGCTCGATGTCAAACACCTCGTACTGCTTGGCGCTGAAGAAGGTGGAGGGGCCGGTCTGTGGTGTGGGAAAGGTATGAAGTGGAGGGAACAGGGATGGGGAGAGAAGGCAGTGAGGAGTCCCGGGCATGTAGGATGGCGAGCAGCTCGATGTCAAACACCTCGTACTGCTTGGCGCTGAAGAAGGTGGATGGGCCGGTCTGTGGTGTGCGGGAGGGGGAGCAAGCAGGGAGTGCAGGCAGTGAGGAGGATTGGGCAAGCAGGTCTGTTGTGTGTGGCAAGGGGCGAGCAGCTCGATGTCAAACACCTCGAACTGCTTGGCGCTGAAGAAGGTGGAGGGGCCCGTCTGTTGTGTGTGGTGTGGACCGGGGAAGGAAGGAGAGACAAGCAGGGGTGAAGGCGGTGAGGAGGATTGGGTGTGCCGGATGGCGAGCAGCTCGATGTGAAAGACCTCGTACTGTACTGCTTGGCGCTGAAGAAGGTGGATGGGCCGGTCTGTTGTGTGTGGGCCGAGAGAGAGGGGGAAGAGGAGGGAACCAAGCGGGTCATAGGGCAAAACGGAGGGAGGACAGGTAGGGAGTGAGGGTGGTGAGGCGACAGCGGGTAGCTCGACGTGAAAACACCTCGTACTGCATGTCTGTGGATGGGCCGGTCTGTGACCAGCATGGGAGAGTAGGAAAGGGAAAAGACAAAGGGGGGTTGAAGGCGGTAAGGAGACTGGGGTTGGTACTCGGGCCCTGTCACTACCCTCAGCATCCATGACGGATGGCGAGCAGCTTGGTGTCAAACAAGGTGGATGGGCCTCGTACTGCTTGGCGCTGAAGAAGGTGGATGGGCCGGTCTGATGGGAGATGCATGGGAGAGTAGGGCAGGGAAAAGGCAAAGGGGGGTTGAAGGCGGTGAGGAGGCCAGGAGTGACGGATGGCGAGCAGCTTGATGTGAAACGCCTCGTACTGCTTGGCACTGAAGAAGGTGGATGGGCCAGTCTGTTGCGATGAGAGATGCATGGGAGAGTTGGGGTTGGAGGAGAGGGAGAGACACATAGGGAGTGAAGGCGGTGAGGGGAAAGGTGGGGAAGGGAGAGAGGGAGGGATCGAGACTGAGAAGACGAGAGAGGAGCAAGTGCAGGTGAGTGAGGGAAGGTGCACGTATCTTTGAGAGCCGACTCGAAATGAATCTTACCGGGGGGCCGAGCTCAGGAGGGATGATGATTCGCCTGCGCCCACCCGCCTTCATGCCACTAATGCCCTCCTCAAACCCTGCACGTGGGGCAAGCAAGCACGCGGGGCAAGCAAGCACGCAGGGCAAAAAAAGGTTGTGAGAAGCAGGAATAACACGAGAAATCTGCCAGCAGGAGAGGATGATGAGGGGCGATGGGGCATTGGGGAGCCTTACGCATGGAGTTTTGGCCGAGCCTTGGGCGAATTAGGCCCGTTAGACATTTGGATTCCGGCGACCGTTCTTTAGGAATGGCATGAGGCGTGTGCGGAATGGAGGGCCGCAATGGCTTTGATGAAGGGCAGGAGAGGAGGAGAGGAGGTGCTGGGAGAGAGAAGCAAAGACACGCTTTGCATGGCATGGCGAGGCTGTGGCGTGATGTGGCGTGGGTGGCATAGCATAGCACAGCACGGCATGGCGCATGGCATGGCGCATGGCATGGCATGGCAAGGGAGAGAGACCTGGGATCATGCCGTTGATGCCGACTCTGGTCTTGGCGGGGCGGCCCTGCAGGTACGTGCTGTCCACACGCCTGCCCGACTCGTTAAAGCCTATGTAGTTGAACTCCACCTGGTGTGCCGTGGGGGCCGTAGGCAGAGGAAGAAGCAAAGGAAGCGGCGCAAAGTGGGTGAAAGAGGAGGAGATACGTCACATTCCCCACGGAGGGCGTGAGTGCTGTGCTGTCCACATGCCTGCCCGACTCGTTAAAGCCTATGTAGTTGAACTCCACCTGTTGTGCCATTGGGAGGCAGCGCAGACAGGAACATAGGAAGCGAAGGGGAAGAGAAGGGGAAGAGAAGGGGAAGAGAAGGGGAAGAGAAGGGGAAGAGAAGGGGAAGCGAAGGGGAAGAGAAGGGGAAGAGAAGGGGAAGAGAAGGGGAAGAGAAGGGGAAGAGAAGGGGAAGCGAAGGGGAAGAGAAGGGGAAGAGAAGGGGAAGAGAAGGGGAATAGAAGGGGAAGAGAAGGGGAAGAGAAGGGGAAGAGAAGGGGAAGAGAAGGGGAAGCGAAGGGGAAGAGAAGGGGGTATGGGGCAGGGGGTATGGGGCATGCGACAGGGAATGTGGGATATGAGCCACGGCAAGGATTGATTAGGATTAACCACGGCCTCATAAATGATGGATTTGAACATTTATAAACAAAGAATGTGGCGGGGGGGAAGGTGGAGCAGCAAGTGAAGAAGAATGTGGAGGTAGTGGGGAGGGCGTGGAGAGAGGGGGAGGGAGGGGGAGGGAGGGCATTGGAGAAACGAGAGGTTGATTGAGGTGAAGGAAGTCGGGGTGGGCTGACCTCCTGTCCTGACGATGGAGGCTCGCCCTGACCTTCCACTATGTCCCAGTAGATCAGCCCTGCACGATTGCATGCATGCATGGCATTCAAGTCATGCACACATCACGCACCCATGTTATGTCATGTCATGGCACGGCATGGCATGGCATGGCATGGCACGGCATGGCATGGCATGGCATGTTATGTCATGTACGTGTGTGTGCAGGGGTGCAGTCATGCAGACAGCCACACATGCACACGTGAAACATGCAAGGGAGTGCAAAGAAATGGAAGAAGCAGGAGAAACATTGGGTGTTGGGAGAAGCAGGAAACGAAGAACGCAGGCAGAACAAGGAACGAGAATGGTGCAGCAGCAGCCACAGCAGCAGCCGCAGCACCAGCAGCAGCACCAGCAGCAGCATCAGCAGCAGCACCAGCAGCAGCACCAGCAGCAGCACCAGCAGCAGCACCAGCAGTAGCAGCAGCAGCGGCGGCGGCGGCGGCGGCGGAAACATTTCACGCACCTGTGGGCGAGACCTGGTACTCGGGCCCTGTCACTACCCTCACTTCGAAGCCTGTGGGGACAAGCACAGGGGCGCGTGGCAAGAGGGGGAAGAAGGGGAAGAGCTTTGGGGAGCCTCACAAGACACCTGTGGGCGAGACCTGGTACTCGGGCCCTGTCACTACCCTCACTTCGAAGCCTGTGGGGCCGAGTGCAGGGATGGGCGGCGATAAGGAGGAGAGGGGAAAGAGAGGGGAGAAGGGGGAGAGGGAAAGCGAATGGGGGAGAGAGGGGAGAATGGAGAGAGGCGAGATGGGAGAGAAAGGGGAAAGAAATAGAGGGGGGAGAGGGATAACGGAGCGAAGAGAGGGGAGAGAGGAGGAAGGGAGGGGGGAGGAGGGGGAGGAAGGTGAGCACGAGGAGTCTGATATGAGGGGATGATATGATAGGAGGAAGAAAGGTGCTATGGATGGAGGAGGGGAGTGGGTGAGATGTAGCAGAACAAAGGATTCACAACGAGCATGTTACGTACTTATAAGAAGAAAGAAGCCTCTTGAGGACAAAAGCATGGATTAATCAAGGGAAGGAAATGGGGACAAGGAGAGAGTAAGGCGGAAGCGAGGGGAGAGCAAACGTTGAACAACGGGAGGGGGGAAGCAAGCAGGGAGGATGAGGAGAGCACAGGGGGATAAGTCCCCCACATGCATCGTCCATCGCATTGCTACCTCACAATCAGCACTCCCTCTCTCTTCCTTCACCCCCCTGACCCCTGCCCCCATTCCGTACCAACCCTTCCGCCCCCGTCCCCCCTGTCCCTCCCCAATCTTCCTCCTTCCGCTCACTGCCCGCTCCCTGCCCGCTCCCTGCCCGCCCGCCCCCAGCGTACCTTGGCGGATGAACCCCGGGAAGTTCTCAGGCGCTTGGTTGAGGCGCTGGATGCGGCGGTTCTGCTCCAGCAGCCGCTGCTCGTCGTACGACTCCATCGGCCGGTCCGTGATCGTTGCTGCAACCGCTGCCCCCCTCGCTGCTGCTCCCCCCGCTGCTTCCCCCGCTGCTCCCCCCGCTGCTCCCCCCGCTGCTCCCCTTGTTGCGCCCCTTGCTCCGCTCGCCCCTGTTTCCGATACGAGGTCGCCTAGGCTTACGCCGACTGCCGCTGCTGCTGCTGCTAGCAGCATGGATCGGCGGGACTGCGATGGTGGTGATGGTTGGTGGCACGTGGAGGGGTGCGCTACCGCTGCTGCTGCTGCTACTGTTTGCTCATCCTGCCGCTGGTCCTGCTGCTCTGGTACTGACGAGGATGCAGAGGCGGTGGCTTCTGACGGTTGGGAGAAGTGAGAGCATGTGGGCGAAGGGAAAGGGATGAGTTGATAAAGCAACGGCACTTGCACCACAGGGCCTGATGCGCAGACCTTAATCACAGCCACAATCACAGCACCTACTGCATCGAACCGCCATAATCCCGCAAGCCATCACACAAATCGCAAAATGCAGCTTTGGCGTGCGCGCGGCACGCACACACACACACACCGAAACCCACCCACACACGCATGTACCCATACCCACCAACGAACACACCCACGCACACACATACGCACACGGACACGCACACGGACACGCACACGCACACGGACACGCACACGCACACGCACACACAAAAGAGATGAATCACCGCACGTTACGCGCGCGATCCACCCCTCGCCCCGACCGCATCGCTCCCCGAAGCGACGGGGGGGGAATGAGAGCTTGTCGCGGTGGCCTGAGTGCCTTTCGAATCGGCTCGCAAGAACATCCGCGACGGTGAGAGTATGTAGTGTGGTGGGCGGTCCGACGCCATCAACGTCGCTTTCATCGCTCCCATCTCACTTCGAGGTGTATTCGCGGTCGCTTTCGAAATTCGAAAATGTATGACGCAAGCTGCGCTCCGGCAAAGCTCGCATCTCACCAGACCACCATCGCCACCGCCGCCGCCGCCGGCGACGTGGCCGAAGACGTCGGGCCGAAGTCGTCGCCGCTGCTTGCGACAGATTGACGATCAATAGCGACGAATGCTGGTTGACAATCTATCCATTATCGCAGAGATTCCTTCGAATCAGATCAGAGCTGTTCCATTTCCACCTCGTTCTCCACCTCGTTTCCAACCCTCTTCGTCTCCCCTTTTCGCAACTCACCCGCTCGCTCTCTCCGCCGAGCAGCACTGCCTGCGGGGAACCGCGCGCCGCGCGACAATGCGACGAGCGATCGCCGTCCGCGCGCGACGGGCGACGCCAAGGGAACCGCCATTGCAGGCGCCCCGATAACGGGAGCGTGAATCGCGGACATGGCGCGGAAACACTCGGGAGTCAGAGGAGGAGTGAAGCTGAGACTTCACAGGAGAGGAGCAGAGCTTAGTGTTCAGATAGTGCACGCAGAGCACTGCTGGCAGCAGCAACCAACGGACGACCACAACAATCCCAAGAATCTGGCTGAATGGCTCACTCGAGATTGGATTGGGATGGATGGAGTTGATGTTGGAAAGTTCGGCCATTATCTCCGATACTCAGACTTCGCCTGGGCGTGTTCTCAGGTGTAATCAACCTGGACTATCTCAACGTTGATTGGTCGTCGCTTTTAAAATCACATTTCTCACGCTGGTCGAGTTCATTAGGAAGTGACAAAAACAGAACCATTCAGTTTACCCTACTAACTTGGATATAAGTATGAAATTTACGTAGTAAGAGATTGAAGCCCATATGATTCAACGCTACACAACCGACCGCTAAACAACGATACCGGTATTCGGGCATGGCAGAGAAAAATAAAACCCCTTGAGAACTTGGGTGCATTTTCGAGAGGAGTCAACCCTAAACATGGGAGTGGCCATTGTTTTTAGGGTTGATGCCTCCCGAGTCGCATCCCTTTCCGATTGGGATTTATTTTTCCTGTAAAGTGAGTTGCAATATGTTTTCCAAAATATTTGGCGGCTTTCGGTATTTAGGGTTGATCCTTCCCGGAAATCATCTAGGTTCGCTTCAGGTTTTATATTTATTTGTTTGCAAGCGCTGGAACTTTTTTTAGTGACTGTAATGAGACAGGAAATCTCCTCATTATATCGCAAAACCGTGTTTCTGTCGGTGATTACACCTGAGAATGCGCTCAGGCAGATTTTGAGTATCGGAGATAATAGCCATTGGAAAGTTTCGTTAATTCGGTAATCCCCATGTGTTACAGTTGGTGCTCATTTCAAAAACACCACCAGGTAGGCGGGCGGCATGTGCGCGAAACGTGTTTCAAGCATTTCGCCACATTCGCCTTTGTTGCCACGGGCAAAAATGTGATTGCAAATACAGTCAGTGCCCATCTCAAGAACACTCGGTAGGCGGGCGACATGTGCGTGAAACGTGTTTGGGGCATTTCGCCACATTCGCCCTTGTCGTCACGGACAAAATTGTGACAGTAAAAAGAAATTGCAACGTGAATCGAGTCAAGGGTTTTAATTCCGTAACCAGGTTAACTTCTCTGATGACGGGCAACCGTTGTTGTTTATGTACTGTAGATGTATTTCTTCCTCAACTTGGTGACTGTACCCCGAAATCGGCATAATGGTAAATTTAGTCACTCATAGGCAAAATGTTCGCGAGTAACTAAATTTCTAATTGTGAGGAGCAAATGTTTTGTGACAGGCTGAGCATCGACTGTATGAAATTGCATTGTGAAACGAGTCAAGGGCTTTAATTTCGTAACCAGGTAAACATTTCAGATGACGGGCAATCGTTGTTGTTTATGAACTGTAGATGTTTTTCTTCGTCAACTTGGTGACTGTACACCAAAATCGCCACAATGGTCAATTTAGTCACTAACGGGCAAAACGTTCGCGAGTGACTAAATTTCTAATTGTGAGGAGCAAATGTTTTGTGATAGGCTGAGCATCGACTGTACCAGTGCAATTGAGCGTGCCAGTCAAGCAAAGCAAAGCAAGCTCAGGGTGGATCACAACGTCACCACACAATACGAGCACAAAAGCAAGGCCAAAAGGCCAGTTTGTCAGAACTTATAGCTTACTTGTTTCTGTAGGCTATAGTGGGGTATCCCATAGGGGGTACAACCCAATTAGGGTTTCCTATTTGTACCCTCTTCGTTCATAGTGATTCCATTCTCATTCTTTGTTTTCACATGGAATCAGAGCAGGTTCCCTCCTAGGGACTGCTTCTAGGGCCCACCGAACCGCGCCCCGAGGCGCGTTTTTTTTAGCGACCCGTCGTGTCGCCCCTAGCGGACCGTTGCGCCGCCCTTCCCCTCGCGGCTCCGCCGCCCTTCCCTAGCGGCCCCGCCGCCCTTCGATCGCGGCCCCGCCGCCCTCTGCTACGCGGCCCCGCCGCCGCCCTTCGATCGCGGCCCCGCCGCCCTCGGCTACGCGGCCCCGCCGCCCTCTGCCACGCGGCCCCGCCGCCCTTCGATCGCGGCCCCGCCGCCCTTTGCCACGCGGCCCCGCCGCCCTCTGCTACGCGGCCCCGCCGCCCTCTGCCACGCGGCCCCGCCGCCCTTCGATCGCGGCCCCGCCGCCCCCTGCTATGCGGCCCCGCCGCTCTCTTCGGTAGCGGCCCCGCCGCCCTCTGCTACGCGGCCCCGCCGCCCTCTGCTACGCGGCCCCGCCGCTCTCTTCGGTCACGGCCCCGCCGCCACTCTGCTACGCGGCCCCGCCGATCCGCCCAGCAGCAGCCGCCGCCGCCTGAGCCGCCGCCGAGCCGCCGCCGAGCCGCCGCCGAGCCGCCGCCGAGCCGCCGCTGAGCCGCCGCCGAGCCGCCGCCGAGCCGCCGCCCGAGCCGCCGCCGAGCCGCCCGTGCCGCCCGAGCCGCCGCCGAGCCGCCCGTGACGCCCGAGCCGCCCGCGCCGCCCAGCAGCAGCCGAGCCGCCGCCGCCGAGCCGCCGCCGAGCCGCCGCCGAGCCGCCGCCGAGCCGCCGCCGAGCCGCCGCCCGAGCCGCCGCCGAGCCGCCCGTGCCGCCCGAGCCGCCCGCGCCGCCCGAGCCGCCTGCGGAGCCGTGCTGCTGTTCCTCTGCTGCTGACCTACCTGCCTCTCCCCGCCCGGTGAGATTTTCAGCTGCTGTCATGGCCACCCCCAATGTTCTTACCTTTGACGCTGAGGGGAGGGCCATTGACTTTGCCGTCTGGATTGAAGACCTGCAACTGTACTTACTGTGTGATGCGATAGATGAGGTCTCTCTCTTTGACTTTGTCTCTGGCGCTGTCCCTGCCCCACCTGCTGATGCTGACTCTGCCGTTCGCTCCAAGTGGGCGACCCGCGATGCTGCTGCACGTCTTGCTGTGCGTCGCCACCTCCCTTCCTCTGAGCGTGCCCACTTTAGTCAGTGCAAGACCGCTCAGGCCTTGTACGACGCTGTAGTTGCACGCTACTCCTCCCCTTCCTCCGCTACCCTTAGCCGCCTCATGCTACCGTTTCTCTTCCCTGACCTCGCTTCCTTTCCCACTGTCGCTGACCTCGTTACCCACCTCCGTGCTAGTGACACCCGCTACCGCGCTGCCCTTCCTGCTGAGTTCCGCGCTGCGAACCCTCCTCCCATGTACATCACTCTCTACTTTCTCGTCACCCGTCTCCCTGAGTCCCTTCGTGTCGTTAGGGACCAGTTTCTCTCTGTCTGTCCCACCACTCTCACTGTCGACCTCCTTGAGGAGTCCCTGCTAGCGGCTGAGAAGAGTATTGTCGCTGTAGGGGCCTCTCGGGGTGACCCTCGCACCCCCATCTTTGAGGGGTGTGGTCCTTCCCCCCTGCTGCCCTCTGTCGCCTCTGCCGCTGCGGCCGACCTCACTGGTTTTGAGTCGGTCGGCGCGGCGTCTGCCCCCAGCGGCAGACGTCGCGCTGGCAAGGGCAAGGGGGGCAAGGGAGCGGGTGGAGCTAGAGGGGGCGGTGGAGGAGGCGGTGGGGGTGGCGGGGGGAGTGGGGGTGGCGGTGGGGGTGGTGGCGGGAGTGGAGGTACTGGTGGCGGCGGTGGAGGCGGAGGTGGCGGCGGAGGTGGTAGCGGAGGAGGCGGTGGGAGCGGTGGGAGCGACGGTCCTGGTGGGGGAGGTGGAGGTGGAGACGGGGGTGGCGGTGGAGGCGGGGGTGGCAGTGGAGGCGGGGGTCGGAGTGGCTCGTCTCAGCGGAGCAGCTCCGGGGGTGGTCAGCGCCAGCAGCAGCAGCAGCAGCAGCCGCAGCAGCAGCCACAGCACCAGCAGCGCTCTCGCACCGTCCCCGCCCCTCAGCAGCTCCGTGAGTGGTACTCGCAGCGTCAGCGTGGTGGTGCGCTTGGTCCTTGCCCCTACGTTCTCCGCACCGGTGACCGTGCAGGGGAGAGGTGTGGAGGCGCCCACACTGCCCGCCGCTGCTTTGGCCGCCTGACTGACGCCTGGCGTCAGCAGTTTCCGGAGGCAGCTGAGATCCCCCGCTGGGGAGAGCTGTCTAGGGCTGGTGTAGCTATTTATGATCTTGATTTTGATGCTAATCTCTCTGCTATGTATGCTGCGATTGGTAGTGATGAGGATGACTGTTACCGGTGTTTCCCGCCCGACCCGGGCATTGGTACTGCCGCGTCAGGTACTAGTGAGGCTGCTGCTCTAGGTGCCAGTGCGTCTGTGCTCTCAGGTGCTGGTGAGTCTGCCCTCTCAGGTACTGTGTCGGCTTCGGCCTCCCACACCTTCACCCTTGACTCTGGAGCGTCTCGCTCCTTCTTTCGGGACCGCACCACTCTCACGCCGCTGAGTCGGCCGGTTGCGGTGTCCCTGGCTGACCCCTCTGGGGGGCCTGTCCTGTCTCGCTTCTCCACTGTCCTCCCGTGTCCGGCGGCCCCCTCTGGCACCCTGACTGGTCTTTACCTCCCCTCGTTCTCGACGAACTTGGTGAGTGGTGCTGACCTCCAGGATGCGGGTGTCCACCAGTTCACCCCTGCTCGTCAGCGGGTGACCCACTGCACGGAGGCGGATACAGGTCGCCACCTGGCTACGTTTACACGTCGGCCAGGGTCGAGCCTGTACACTCTGACCACTGCTTCTCCTCCAGGTGCTGAGTCTGGTAGGGTCACTTCGTCTGGTCAGGTGTTTGCTGCAGCGTCCAGGTCTGGTCCTGAGTCTGCCCCCTGCTCGTGCCGTCGTCTGTCTCACGAGACCCTCCTCTGGCACCACCGCCTTGGCCACCCCTCTCTGCTTCGGCTCAGAGGCATGGCCTCGCGAGTCCTTGTGTCTGGTCTTCCCCGGTCTCTCCCTCCCCTCCCTCCGGGCCCTGGCCCCACCTGTGTCCCCTGTGTCGAGGGGCGCCAGCGTGCTGCCCCTCACTCCTCCCAGTTTCCTCCGA